TTCTAAAGGCCTTTAGTGTTAGTTATCTGTGGCTGACAGAAGGGCAGCCACGGGACTTGAATGGATTACACAGATATGAAAAAAAGACCAGGGGGCTTGTGTGGTTTTATTTCTTTACTTTTATTTTTGATCCATGCACAAGTGCCAAAAGCACAGGCAACTACTTTTTTACACTCACTCATTAGAGCTACAGTTGAATGTTTACAAAACAGCAAATAATAAAGTGGCTATACTATAGCAATTTAGTAAAATAGAACGACCAAGATAACAGTACCACCATAACAAGCTTTGAGAGATAAACTAGGATAGTACCAGCATTCCAGAGATAACTCCCCAGCAAGCGTTCCTGCATAAACTTTCTCATGAGACAAGGCTCTCCAGTCTTACATGTTCAAGGTTCAGCTAAATTTACCAAGCACATTTTTTAAAACCATAGGAACACTGTTTCACTGTCCCTCCTGTTATCCCTCCCCATACTCCCTCGTCTGTCTTTCCCTTCCATTCCTCACCCCATTTAATACTTTCTACTCTATTACTCCCCTTTCCCCCTTTATATCACTGCATTCTATCTCCCCTCCTTAAGAAGTCTCCCCAATTCCATGGCCATTTATTGGTTTTCTGGCCTCTCTGGATTTTCCTATCAAAACATCCATATCTAAGAATTCAAAGCTAGCATGTTTGTTGCTGCTCTTTTTACAACAACTAAGAGATGGAAGCAACCTAAGCATCCCTCACCTGACGAGTGGTTAATGAAAATTTGGTACATTTACATGATGGAGTTCTACTCAATGATAAAGAAAGATGAAATAATAAAATCTGCAGGTAAAAGGATGGAACTGGAAACTGTTATACTATGTGAAGTCACAAAGACTCAGAAAAACAAGACATATATGCTCCCTCATTTGTGGATCCTAACACCAAACCCTTATTTGTGAGTATAACCTGATGTAACTGCAGGAACCAGAAAAATGGAAGAGAACCAAGCAAGTAAAGGGAAAGAAGAAATCCAAGAGAGAAGAAAAGTAGGAGGTAGTAGGAGGTGTTACTCAGGAAGAAATGTATAAAATGGAGGTAGTTAAATGGGAGGGGGAGGAGAGCTACACAAAGAACTATGGGGATAAAGGGGAAGAAGGCGCTCAAGAGGTGAAACCGGAACAGACAGGGATTATCAAGAAAGAAATGGGGAAATGGGGGCACTTTAAATGGGGAGGGCAGTGAGGTAGAATAAGACATGGAGAGAGAAGAGATAAATAATGCCTAGCTAGTATAAAAAAACAGATGGAATCATATTAGTCCAAAAACTGAAAAATTATACATACAATATCTCTACATGAGTCCGTGAGCATAGCTGAAGGCTACATAACAAGAAACAGTACCAGACAGGAGAAACTTTCCTCTGAGTTGTTGGCCAGGGCAGTCCAAGAGACTCCAAAATGACACAGGCCATTGCCACAGCTCTTGATTGGCTCCCAGAACTTGAAGGTAAGAGCCTATTGCTGAAGACAGGCATACTTCAGACATAGGATTTGGAGCGATGGCGCTAGAAATGACCTGGAAGCCATCTCCCCTGAAGGCTAGCTCTCACAGCTTTGGAGAGCACTACACAGCTGCTAAGGGAGAACCTCAATCGATGGTCCAACTCCAGTCCCAAGGCCTAAAAACCAAAAAATGACCAGCACAGCAAATGATATTGGTGCAGTAGTGACACTTTTATCTTGTAGGTAATCAACAGCTACCTAATTGCACTTATAGCTCACTCAATGGAAGGAAACTCAGGTATAGTACTGTAAACCTAGTCAAATACACTATAGAGAGGTCACAAATCTTAGAGAAAACCCCAAGGTTGTCACACCCCTAGACAAATGTAATTTCTTACTATGTCCAAAATATGGCACCTTAAATTTACAGAGTGTGGGTCTTTGGACAGGTCTCCTATATTAAAATCCACCCATCCAGGGCTCAGGGACCACTACGGAAGAAGGGGACGGAAAGACTGTAAGGGCCAGGGAGGTGGTGCATGACCATATGGAAATAGTCATAAAGGCACCTGGGACTCTTCTCATAGGAACATACAGCAAGTGGTGTCAGCATGCACAAGACCCACAGGAACTTAAGCAAACAAAAACCCAACACAGAACTGTGGAAATGAACAAGCAGGCTACAATATTAATCAAAGAATTATTGGCAGCTGGAACAATAGCTAAAGAAAGTTCTTCAGATGAGAAAGGAAATTATAAACTGAGACATCAGAAATGAAGAAAGGAATAGAAAGAATTCGTCAAGAGTAAAGGTGTCAGATAGTTATTTTGCCTTTGAGATCTAAGCTGCATTTGATGTTTAAAAGAAAATTAAAATAGTACCTGATGCGGTTCTCAGTGTATTAGAGGTAACTCCTGAGACAACTGTATTGCTCAGATGGAGAGAAAAGGGTTCTCCATGTTTGTAACATACCTGTACCTCAGTTCACACGGAAAATGGTATTAATGAAGTCTAACAAGCTACATAGGCATATTGTACAGTATATATGGACAGACAATACGAAGGGAAATGTTTCAAAAGAATGAAGATGAATTAAAGACAGAATGCTTTTGAAAATGCACAGTAAAGGGAAAATGGAAGACAGA